AATTCCAAAGAAAGGCAATGCCAAAGAATGTTCAAACTATCGCACCATTGCACTCATTTCACATGCTAGTAAAGTTATGCTTAAAATCCTACAAGCTAGACTCCAGCAGTATGTGGATCGAGAACTACCAGAAGTACAGGCAGGATTTCGAAGAGGCAGAGGAACTAGAGATCAAATTGCCAACATACGCTGGATCATGGAGAAAGCTAGGGAGTTCCAGAAAAACATCTACTTCTGCTTCATTGACTATGCAAAAGCCTTTGATTGTGTGGATCACAACAAATTGTGGCAAGTTCTTAAAGAGATGGGAGTACCAGACCATCTCATTTGTCTCCTGAGAAACCTATATGCGGGTCAAGAAGCAACAGTGAGAACCGAACACGGAACCACTGATTGGTTCAAAATTGGAAAAGGAGTCCGGCAAGGCTGTATACTGTCGCCCTGCCTATTTAACTTATATGCAGAGCACATCATGAGAAAGGCAGGGCTAGATGAATCAAAAGTTGGAATTAAGATTGCCGGGAGAAATATCAACAACCTAAGATATGCAGATGATACCACTCTAATGGCAGAAAGTGAAGAGGAACTAAAGAGCCTCTTGATGCGGGTGAAGAAGGAGAGTGCAAAAGTTGGCTTGAAACTCAACATTAAGAAAACCAAAATCATGGCATCCGGCCCTCTCAATTCCTGGCAAATAGATGGGGAAGAAATGGAGGTAGTGACAGATTTTATTTTTCTGGGCTCCAAGATCACCTCAGATGGGGACTGCAGCCAAGAAATTAAAAGACGCTTGCTCCTGGGGAGGAAAGCTATGGCAAATCTAGACAGCATACTAAAAAGCAGAGACATCACCCTGCCAACAAAAGTGCGTATAGTCCAGGCCATGGTTTTCCCAGTTGCAATGTATGGCTGTGAAAGTTGGACCATAAGAAAGGCTGAGCGCCAAAGAATTGAGGCCTTTGAACTATGGTGCTGGAGAAGACTCCTGCGAGTCCCTTGGACTGCAAGGCGTTCAAACCGGTCAGTCCTAGAAGAGATCAACCCCGACTGCTCTTTAGAAGGCCAGATCCTGAAGTTGAAACTCAAGTACTTTGGCCACCTAATGAGAAGGAAGGATTCACTGGAGAAGAGCCCTAATGCTGGGAAAGATTGAGGGCAATAGAAGACTGGGACGACAGAGAATGAGATGGCTGGATGGAGTCACTGAAGCAGTAGGTGTGAATTTAAATGGTCTCCAGAAGATGGTAGAGGACAGGAAGACCTGGAGGAACATTGTCCATGGGGTCGCGACGGGTCGGACACGACTTCGCAATTAACAACAACATATATATATATATATGTGTGTGTGTGTGTGTGTGTGTGTGTGTGTGTGTGTGTGTATACATCGTACTCAGTATTTGGAAATATGAACAAAAAGCTTCTCAATTAATATAGAACAAGTCTGTTGCCTTAATAATCATACTGACCCCCTTGTCTCCAATGATACCCCTAGTACAACACATCTGCTTACTAACACATTAAAAGTGTGTATGAACTCGAAAAAGGAAATAACTACCATGAGCGACAGCAGAATAACATCCTCACCCCACTGCCGTGCTGATCGGAATTACCAAGAGAGAGACGTGCTCCCGAAAGACGCACAGAAGATCGGCGCTTATAGCCGCCCTATTATGGGAGTAGTCACGTGCTCCCGGAGAGAGGCTTTACAGAAGTCTGAAAGAGAGGCAACCGGATTGGGAACTGTACCGGATCACATGAAGGAGGAGCACGGAGGACATCGAGCACACACTAAATTAACCCAAACATCCCAGGGAACACTTACAATAACGAAACAAGGCGGACCTTGGACTCAGCTAGATGACACGCTGGGAGCAGTGGGGGGAAATAAAAGTATGGATGGGGTTAATCATGAAGACTGTGAGGGTGCTGGAGGGGCGATGCACTGAAAAACGAGGATCAAAGTGAAACCCTTGGTATGAAGAATGGTGATAATAAATATACAAACAAGTGTGATGTGTGCCAGAAGAGTGGAAGAGAGAAATGCCCCGGAAAACACAGGAGGATGGGCCAGCTCGATAACGTGGAGGATACTTTAACTCTGGGAAATACACATTGCCTTTCCGACTCAAGAACTAAAAGGGGTGGGGAGATGGGTGATCATGCAGATGTAAGTAGGGGCCGTAAGAAAGAGTCATCAAATACTGAAAGTGAAGTCAGAATCAATCAGCCGGGACCCGTCATGAGGTTCATGCGCAGAATGCGGGCGTGGCTGTACTCATAAGCAAGTTTCCTTACCGGTTGGTTTGTACCTGACGATGATGGCAGTTTCCTAGCCATTGAAAGCTTGGTTTTATCTATTAAAACTGTATTGTTTTATTTCCTGGTGAAGGCAACCAGTCTACCAAATATAAATCAGTCTGTTCTGCATTTGGCTCCAATCTAGGAGCATGTTTTGCAGGCAGACCTCACATACTGTGAACACTATAAATTCAAAATTTTGTGGCTGACAAAGAGTTAGTGGGAGACTAGTATAGCTATTTCAGGCTCATTAGCCCTCATCAGCTAGTCACATCCTTCAGGGATTCAAACCTGGACAGCTTGCATGTTAGGCAGCTGTATTACCCTTTTGAGCCACAGGTTCCCCCTTACTCCTGTCAGCTGAAACCAGGGAGAATATATATCTTATCTGTTGGGTGAGGCACCCAGTCTACCAAATATAAATCAGTCTGTTCTGCATTTCGCTCCAATCTAGGAGCATGTTTTGCAGGCAGACCTCACATACTGTGAACACTATAAATTCACAATATGTATGTGTGTGCGTGCGCGCGCATGCGCTTACAATCTTTTCTAGTGTAACATCTAAGTTTCATCATGTCTTTATTTCATGTAATAAAATATTAACACTATTCATCAGGTTTACTAAATTTATAAGGAATGAATAGAAATTCAATCCAGAGGATCAAAGGGTTAGGATTAAAAATGTGTACAGTTATGAAAAAGAGCAATAAAAATAAAATTGCATTGTATCTGAAGAAAATAATGATGCACGTATAATCATTTTTTTAAAATAATTATTAGTTGTTGTATTACTTGTATTTAGATCATTCAAATCCAAGAGAAAACAAGAAAAAGATAAATCAAAATCTTAAATGTCAGTAGACTTGATTCTTAGAACAAAAGGATACTTTTTTGAATTCAAGCTATCTAATCAAATTTTAAAATGTATTTACAACTTGCTTTGTTCCTGTTTCATTCCAATTCACTTAGTTATGAGCAATTTCAGGAAATCTGATCTTTCTTTTTTTTCTCTAAGAAAAATTCTCAGATTTCATCTTTTGCTACAAATGTACAAAAATCTGTGATTTTAGAGACTTCTGTTTCTAGTTCATAGAGTTGTTAAATCAGACACTCACACTTCATGAACTGCCTCATTTTCCAATTCAGCTTAATTCTTGTTCTAGCTATGATTATCAACTATTCTTTGAAACTGTTAAACCCTGAATGGCTTCTTCTTTCACGTCCAATTTGTCCTCTGTATATTAGAGACAGACAAGTTGTTGTTGTTGTTAATTGCGAAGTCGTGTCCAACCCATCGCGACCCCATGGACAACGTTCCTCCAGGTCTTCCTGTCCTCTACCATCTTCTGGAGTCCATTTAAATTCACACCTACTGCTTCAGTGACTCCATCCAGCCATCTCATTCTCTGTCGTCCCCTTCTTCTATTGCCCTCAATCTTTCCCAGCATTAGGCTCTTCTCCAGTGAATCCTTCCTTCTCATTAGGTGGCCAAAGTACTTGAGTTTCAACTTCAGGATCTGGCCTTCTAAGGAGCAGTCGGGGTTGATCTCTTCTAGGACTGTTTGATTATGTACTTTGGCTACATCCTGACAATTCGTCTTTGACATTTTCTACAGTATAAGGCTTAAATGAATGTTTATAATGCTTTATATCCAATTAACTGTCAAGTATGTTATACAGTGAAAAGTAGGACTCTCTTATTAACAGCAGCCTTGCTAGCCTATGCTATATTATACTATGTTTTCCAGCAATATAGCTAATTTACAGGATCAATCATTTTTAAGTATAAAAATACTTTTGGAACTTAAGGCACCGTGCACAGTTGAAGACATAATCCTAAATATTTATGGAATTTAACTTCTCTGAATTTAAATGAAGATTGAATAAATATTTAAATAATAACAATTACTATCATTTCCTGTTCATGACAAAAGTGAGAAATTAGTCATTGAGGCTGTTTATTTCTCCTAACTTATGCAAGTTGTTTTATTTAAAATAAACTGAATCTCATTGAAAATATATGCCTTTAAAACACTGTACCATTTCACTCTATTTATATTCCTGAATTAGCTTTGTAAGTACACTTTCAAAAATATTCTTTTATTCTCCTTGAATTAAACTTTAATTTCAAAAAAGCTATAATTTGTTTTATTAATTGGTAATATTTTAGGTGGCATTATATCTATCTATCTATCTATCTATCTATCTATCTATCTATCTATCTATCTATCTATCTATCATCTATCTAATCTAATTTAATCTATCTATCTAATCTATGATCTATCTGTTTCTCACCACAGCAATGGTGTGAGGTGGGGTGGGGTGAGAAAGAGTTAGTGGCCCAAAGTCACCCAACTGGATTTCACCTTTAAAGGAGGCATAGAATGGTTTCAGGCAAGAACCTTAACCACTACACTCCAAACTGGCTCTGTGTGTATTACTTAAAGTTTACAATCCTGAAGCATAACCTACCTGTGTGATTTGATCATTACAGGTATAAAATATTGCAGACAGGCAATTTTTTTTCTAAACATTTTGATTTCATATATCCAAATACCATTTATCAACTATATGGTCTGAACAAGTGAATTTATGTATCTTTAAATCATGTATAGACACAAAAGAATGCATGCTTCCTATACAAATCTTTAAATTACTATAGGCTATAACTTTTTTAAAAAAATGTCTTCTGTTTCATTTAGATTTGGATTCATTCTTCACAAGGATGAGCCTGTACTCCAGAAAATTGATCTTGAAACAATGTCATATATCAAGACAATTAGTTTAAAGGATTACAACTGTGTTCCAAAGACTCTGGCATATACACATATTGGAGGATATTATTTTGTCAACTGTAAGCCTGACACTACTGGAGCTATTCCACCACAAATAATAGTAGATAGTGTTACTGACTCAATTATTGGATATAATGGTGATGTAACAGGATCTCCATATATTTCTCCAGACGGTCACTACATAGTCAGCATTGATGATGTGAAAGGTGTCATGAAGGTCCAGACAATTACACTAAGAGGAGAAATACAAGATACCTTTGACATTCACACAAACTTGCACATATCTGATGTGGCTTTCCAACCATCATTTACTGAAGCTCATCAATATAATGTCTTCGGTAGCTCTAGTACACAGACTGATGTCCTTTTTGTAGAACTGTCCTCTGGGAAGGTGAAGATGGTGAAGAATCTTAAGGAACCTCTTAAACCAGATGAATGGCCTTGGAACAATAAGAACCGATTAATTGAAGGCAGTGGGCTCTTTGGTCAGTACCTGATGACACCTTCCAAGGAATCCTTGTTTATTCTAGATGGACGATTAAATAAGCTTAATTGTGAAATCACTGAAGTTGAGAGAGGAAATACAGTAATTTGGGTTGGAGAGGCATAAAGAACCACATTAGATAACACCCAAATGGATATAGTTTTACAGTACATTGCACTTATCTTCATTCTCTAAATTGTTATTATTTTATATTAAAGATGTTAGACCCTTCTGTACATGTTGTGTGGTTGACTAAAATGGAATTTTGGTGAAATAAAAAATGCTTAAATTGTGAGAAATATGTACTGTTGGTAATCTCCATGGGGAAAAGTGGCCAATTTGTGACAATATTATATTATAATAAATACAAAGGGTATATGACAAAATGATGCCACATTATAACAACAACAGCAACAACAAAAATAATTCATTGAATTGCTAATATTACACACCACGTGCATAGTTAGGTTTTTGCATTAAAACACTATGCCCTGTCCTGACCACTCTTTGATATTTTTGTGCCTTGAACAGAAATGTCTCATAAGGAAAGAGAAGCCTACAAACAGGTAATTGTATTCTTGTGGTTATAAGTTCTCTTTATCTTGTGCAAAGTTTTTAATATCTCAATTTTTTTCATCTCCACAAATTTTAAGGCATAGTTTTAAATCAAAGGACAAAAATATATTTGCAACATTTTGTGCTATCATTTTTATTACTACAGCTTGAAGATATGGTTATTTTTATTACAATTTAAGGTTAAAATTTTGTTAACTGTTCATATTTTAACTGTTACTTTTCCACCTACAAAACAGTTGCATCAACTTGGTATAGTTTAGTTTTATTGAAGAGAAACATAATATCTACCTGCTTAGGAGAAAATGTTTATTTAAAATCAATACTAAGGGTTATTTAAATTGGCAAAAAAATAATGTCTTACTATAAGTTCATTTTAAAACAATATGCTTAATAATACACTTTACACAGTAATCCTATATATGTCTATTCAGAAGTAAGTTCCACTCAATTCAAGAGAATTAAAAATGATACTTTGTCTACTGAAAAAAATCACACTGAATTCAATTTTTCTTACTCCTAGTTGCGTATAAGATTGTATGTTTCAAGTTTCTTTCTGAAAGTACAGTACACTGAAATCAATAAAATTCACAATTAAATAAATGATTCATATCATCTTGCTAAATAGTACCACTTTTGCATATACAATGTTTATCATATATGCCTTTTGTCAGTACTCTTGATAAAAGTAATTTTTTAACTTATTACTGCCATTAGCTTTCTATTTCATGGTATTTATGGTTATTTTAGTTTATAAACTGCCACATAGTTAGGGATGTTGTTTATATGCCTACACAGAAACAATTAAGGTTCTAAAATTTAGAATTATTGTAACCACTAAAAGAGAAAATAATATCTGTGCTGTATTTTTCTTCAGGTTTTTAGATTGGTCTGACTATTGTTATCATTTTAAAAATTGGGTTTCTGTACCTGAAACTTTTAAACTGATATTTGATACAATGCAATCAAATATTTTACTCTAATAGGTAAAGTTAATTAGAAATTTCTATTTTCTTGTCTCTCATTAAGTATCCTGGACTATGAAACAGTAGACTTCTCTTTAGATTAAGGAAACTGACTGATAAATTTAACTGAACAACAAAAATGACTTTAAATTTCTTACTTCTGAATCTTTTTAGCAATTTTCCCCATTGTGATAATAACAGTAATTACTACAGAATAAAAGATTCTGTGAACAGCCTGTTACTTTATGATTTACAGTAGTTCATCTCTTCTACATTTTTCTGATCTATCCTACATATGTGAGTGTTCTGTATGTAGAAAATGCTTGATGAAAAGAAAATAAACCTTTTACATTTTAAATATTGTTGTTTCAGTTGATATATCAAAAAAGAGAATGTTAGAATGTTCCCAACATATTCCCAACTCCTTATGTGGAGGAGGAATCTAGAAAAGCAGTCAAGAATATAACCCATTTTTTTCCCAATGACATCTATGTAGCAAAAATAATGTAGCAAAAATCTCTTTATATTAGATTAGGAATTTATTTCAGGTTGTGTACTGAGTCTAAGTTATTTTAATTCTAGCAAAAACTAAACAAAGATGTCAATAATATTTTGAAGGGTAAATTGCTTACATATATACTATTAAATATTAATATGTAAATCCATTATTAGTTGAAAATAGGTCAACAAAATAAGCGTACTTAGAGCTACCTATTTTCAACTAATAATGGATTTACATACTAATATTTAATAGTATATATGTAAGCAATCTAGACAAAAATGAGATGGAAATAAAATTGAGGAATATCTCTTTCTAAGTTAACACTATTTATTTCCTCACAATGAATTAAAGCAGAACTCCAATAGAAGTAGCATTAATGAAATTCTTTTACACTGCTATGTATAGGAGTTGCTCTAATTATAAAGTCTTCAAATATGTAACACTTCAGAGTCATTTTGAAAAGGGAGATGGGCAGCAAATAAATTTAATAAAGTAATAAACACTATATTGTAGAAAAAATATAACATTTTCACTTCTGTTGCAAAGTGCACATTTAACTATGTTCAAAAGAAAAAATTCAGATAAATAAATCTTGAAAAATCTGTTTGTTAACACTTAATATTTTGCTCTATGTTTTTTCAAGGAGCAAGTATTTGGCTTGACATATTCATCCCCATGATTCTACCAGTTAGTAATAATACTTGTGAAGAGATTTTTGATTGAAAACATGTCAACTGTGCAAAACAACCGCAAAAATGGACAAATGCATGTTAGGTTATATAAACAGAAATATAATTTTAAAATCATAAGAAGCCTTCTCTTTCATGCTGGCCAAAGTCCCAGAAGTGTTTTGCCCAATTCTTGAAGTTTAAAAAGTATTCTTACAAATTGGGACAAATTTGCAGAGAGTCACTGATGAAAATCAGAGCATCATAAATTACATCGTATGAGGAAAGCTGAAAGGTATTAGAAATGTTTAGAGAGAAATGAAAGGAAATTATAATGGCATTCTGAGATATTTGTTAGGATATCACACACAGGTTCAAGACCTATTTTCCATCATTGCAAAAGACTGAAACAGAATGCTTCATTTTCAGTACAGGAAGGTAAATATGAACTGAATGCTGTAAAGAAGACTTCATAACATTAACAGAAGTTTGAAATGGAACCAATTCTGCAGAGAAATGGTGGGTTTCCCATCACAAGGTGTGATAATTATATTCATCACATATATTCATATATTCACAAAGTCATCTGACTGGAATCTGCTCTAGTGGAATCTAAGTCTGAATATGAGAGATTTCTATGAACAAAATGTCCAACAATATACCACAGTAAACTGAACTTTATTCATTCACCACAGGGAAGAGATATCTATAAACAGACCTGTGGGATGACATTCTAACAATTCAATTTGAGCAGAAAAGTACTGATAACTTTACTGATCTTCTTGATATAGTATAAACCTGAACATGATAATGTGCCCATATTCATTTATACTCATTTTTTATTTTCCATTATTGGTGCTCTAGATCAGGCATGTCAAACTTGTGATATCACATGACGTCGCGCAACGTATCAGGCCGGTTTTGCCATTGCCGGCAATGGGGTGAGCGTGACTTCCACGTGACGTGTCTGGCCCATGGGCCAGCAGTTTGACACCCCTGTTCTAGATATTGCATACTCTCTTTCACCTTCTGGGATTCCCCAGTAAACACGTCCCCACCCCAGGATGGATAAAAAGAAAAGTCCACTGGGAAGTAATCTCACTCAGTATCCTTATTGTCTACATTTTAGGACTTAGAAAGACATATAGTGCAGTCAATAAAGTTGCTTAGATAGGCAGAGTCCTTAATATGCTGAAAGGAACTTCTTACATATTATCTGAGTCTCTTTTTAACCAATGAACTCTCAGGAAATGGATAGTCCTGTCCTTTACTCTTTGTTTTCAACCACATTCATTTTGGTGTTGTGGGAAGCTGGTGGAGAGTAACCACTTTGATCTGGGAGATTGTAAATGGACTCTTTGAAAGGAAAAATTGCACATGCTGCTATTGAGCAGAAGAACAAGGATCAAAATGTCCAGAGTAATTATACTCCAAACTATTGAAACTTTACATAATATTGGTTTGCTTGCAAGATCAAATTGCTTGCTTGCTTGTTTCTTTTCAAATTTATCCTTCTAACTGAAACTGATTTTATATATATATACATACACACACATATATATACTCTTCATTCATTCATTTACTGTATGTAATGTGTTTCTTAATTATAGCAGTATATGCATGCTTATTACAATTATATCCAGGAGAGAGAAAAAAATTGAAATAATTTCTAATCCATTGTTTTTATTGTTGTGTTGTTTTCATTGATAATATGCAAAAACATTGATGCCTGAGTACTAACGTTTGTCAGTTTCCATTTTTCTTTCAGAGTCAGCTATACTTCTAAATCTCCAATATTACATTTTTTTTTAAAAAAAAATGTTCCTTGGCTCATGGAGGTCCTACTCTCCTCCCAGCTGTCTTTATTTTGAGACACTTAAGAGATGTTAGGCACATTTACAGCATTGTCTATCTATAACAAACACTTATTTCTTTGCCAATAACACTAACTACTATGCTAACAAAGTATTTTCCTTTTTTGCTTACTACCTACCAAGCAATTTTCATGGAACATCTCTCTAAGTCACCATATTCTAGACTAATATTTTTTTCTTTAAGGAGCAGACTGCTTATTCATCGAGACCAACACTCCGAAGTACCATTACATTTTTTTTCTATAATGTTGATGCAAAAGCTGGTACATGAAAGATTAAACTTAATCTAAATTTAAACTATAAGATGCATCTTGTATGCTTCTCACTCTCTCTGACAATTTGCTATGGTCCAAATTGAGTAGCACCTCAACTGACGAATGTTTTCTGTCCCTTGTCTACAAGCTATATGAAGGGTCAAGTCGCTTTTCTGTTTAAACTCATTTTGACATTCAGGAGGAGTTGCCAATATTATGTTTCAGCAGCCACCCACTGTTTAATATTTATATTAACTCTCTTATTCAAGGATTGAGGTTTATAGATATTTTGTCTCCTTTGATTAAAATAGATATCTCCCAACCTTATCTATGAGGTTGATGCTGTTATTCACTGTTTTTCAAGTATTGGCCTTAAGGATACTACTACTGTTATCTTAGTCCAACACAACAACAACAACAACAATAATAATAATAATAATAATAATAATAATAATAATAACAATAATAATAACAATAACATCTGTAACACCATCAAACATCCAGATCTGCCTATTTCAGGTCCTTGGTAAGGACTCAATAGACAAAAATGCCAAATCCAGTCTGAACATCTGGCTGACTATGCGATAATTAATAATAACAACAACAACCCCCAGTGAAGCACTACCTTGATGTGGCTGTGGGGCTTATGTGCTCTGAGGAAGATGAGAGCTATGCCACAGTGGACATAGTTCAATATATTGGCCAGGTCTCATCAGAAGAATCAGAAAAAGACTGTCTCTCCCATTAAAAATATGGCGAGATGTAAATAAATAAAATAATTGAAACAAAGAACTATAACACAAGCATTAAAAGATGCAAATAATGCAATATCAAGTATAAGCAAGAAACAATTAATGAACAGCACAGCTGCAGTTATAACTGAATACCTGGGAAGCAAAATCAACAGAGAAGAAAAACCAAACAATGCACCACAGAAATGGAAGATTAGATTGGAAAATGAGATCAGCAAGTTGAGATCAGATGCAAGCACATTAGAACAGATGAAAGAAAAGAAGCTGGAGAACAAGAAGACCAAATAATATCTAATCAAGAAATACCACTTAGAAATGAGGAAGATCAAGGAAGCACTGGAAATAATAAAGCAGCAAATAACAGCTATAGCCAGGAAGATTGGCAGATATAAAGCTCGAATTGCAAATTATAGAATTTCAATTTCAATCCAATCAGAAATGTTTCTACTAATCTATCAATGGACAAACTGCAGTGAATCAATCACTATCTGACAAGGAAGAAGCAGTGCAGTTCTGGGCACAGATGTTGAATAACCCAAAGAAATTCACCAAGGACACAGCTTGGTTAAAAGAGGTGGATAAGAATAAAAAAAGAAGTTGAAATGAAAGAAATAATAATAGTAATAGTAATAACAGTGAAATAGGTAGAGAAAAGAGCAAGGAAGATCAAGAACTGGTCAGCACCAGATCAAGATGAACTGCATGGTTTTTGTTTGAAATATCTAACTCAGTGGTTCTCAACCTTTCTAATGCCGCGACCCCATAATATAGTTCCCCATGTTGTGGTGACCCCAAATCACTTATACATCACCGGGTGCCAGGGGCGTGGCCAAAGAAAAGGGGGAAAAATGGCAGACAGCCTTGTTTGGCGACCCCCGTGAAATGGTCGTTCGACCCCAAATGGGGTCCCGACCCACAGGTTGAGAACCACTGATCTAACTGGTCCATACCCACTGATTTCCAAACAGTTTAACAACATATTACAAGGAGGTGAAATTGAAGAGTGGCTAACATCTGGGACAGCCTACTTGATAATGAAAGATCCAACAAAACTGACTGCTGGCAAACAAGGGCTTTTTCCAAAGGAGGAAGAGGAGGAGAGGTCCTGGGGCTTATGGGGCGAAGGAACTGGATGAGGCTGTTGGCAGGCCCAGAGGATGAGAGAGAGGCTTTTGGAGCAGTTGGTGGCGGTGGCAGCGTTTTCCAGGGGCGAAAAGGAGTGAGGCCTCTTTAAGGAAAAGATGGAAGAGACAAGATCAGAAAAAGAAAAGGAGGCGAAGTTGTCATGCAGGAATACAAACTAATTTG